CTGGAAAACAACACAGGAAACAAGAAACCAGAACGCAGTTTCAGAATGAAGAACAGAAGTGGGGTTCTCAAAAGCATAAAGAAAACAAGAACTATAGGGCCAAGAACAGTGGCAAAAATGCAAGAAGTAGTGAACAATAAATATGATTCACGGAATTAACAGGTTAAACAGAACAGTAATGGCAACAACGAGAAAGCAGAAACATCAGGGAAATGAGAACGAAAGGAATAGTAGCTTACCAAAGAAAGGGAGGCTGGAAAGGGATTTGCCGATGTCCTACGACGGTTACAAGAGCAGAAGACTGGTGGAAATCTCGCCGGAAGGGGTGAACGGAGAAAGTTGCAGAGCTTGGGAAGCTTGAGCGATGGCGGATTTGAAAGAAAGAGTTTTAGAGAGAGAAAAAGCAAGAGAACTCAGATGCAAAAGTGAAGAGACAAAAGAAAAGGGGAAAGATTTTGTCAAAAAATGAAAACGGCGGCAAAAGCAATCAATACGCCTAAAAGAGCGCATACGTTAGACGGCGCATGTGAAGAAGAGATGACTTATGGGGGCGTCACAGGCACGAGCCAGTAAGAAAGAAACGCGTGTCTAAAACGGTTGAACTGAAGTACATGACAGCTCATGCGCGTAAAAAGTTCCTTAAAAATCTTTGATTTTTTAGGGAAAGCATGTCGGCCAGAAATGAATGATCTCGGTTGTCAAATCTTAAGCCGATTTACTAGAAGAAAATACAGATATAGATTCCATCATCTCAGAATGCTGGGGTAATAGAACCTAGGGGGCAGTTGTGGGGATGTATTTTCTGAATACCAACACGTGGCAAGGTGACGCCAACGTGTCAGCCGAAGTGCCACGTGTCATGGTCGTGACGCCAAGGTGATCTCAGCAAGGCCGAGGTTATCTCCGAAGATATCGGAATCCGAGATAAATGGATAAAAGATAAGGGACAAGAGTCCTAGAGTAAAGAGAAGACTTTGCTAAGATAAGGATAAAGCTCTTAGGGAGTTTATCTTTATCTCTTGAGAAATCCAAAGTAAGTACAGAATTGGAGTCCATAGAAGTCAAGTTTCTAGTAGGACTAGGATTGAGTAAACTATAAAGAAGAGGCACCCCCATAGGTCTAAGGTACGCAGTTTTATGCTTTGAGTAGTGAGTTTAGCACTTGATTATCTTTGAGAGATATACTGACTTGATCGTCGGAGTGCTCCCGGGTGGAAGAGCCACCGCCGGAGCCTTTTCTTTCTGTTACAGGTTTGCTGAAGCCATCTATTCTGCCGGTGCTCTTCAGCTGATTACTAGGTGGGCAGTGTGGTCAGAAAATCACTCACACAGTTATTTTTGTAAAGTGAAAGTATAATGCTATTTTCACCATGGGATTAGATTGTGAAACTTCGCCCCCAAAAGATTGTTAGTACCCTCCTTGGGGGGAGTTTGTAGTCCCATGTAGCATTATTTCAAAATAAATATAATTTATGTGAAACCTATTAGATTGTTAATCCAATTCTACTACCTTCGGACCAAAACAAACAGGGTGTTAGACTTATGTTTGTTTGCTAATAATTTTGAAGAAAAAAAAAAAGAAGTGATTTTGAATTTTATGATTATTTTGGCAATTGGGTTAAAAGTCAATTTTTTTTGCTTTTTGACTTTTTGTGTCACATCATCTCTCTAATTTTTTGCATATTTTTTGAAAAAAAAATAAAAAAAATAAAAAAAACTAGCTTTCAAATTACTTTCCAAGAATACAAGTTAAATGAGAATGTGATTCTTGATTTATCATTTTAAGTAGGGCTAGATATAAGGTTATCTAAAATGCCAAACCTGTCAAACCCGAACCGATCCGCAAAAAATTCGTTTTCAAAACTAAGGAGGAATTGGATCCCACTTCCTCTTAAGTAATCTCATGTGTTTAGCTTGTGTAATGCTACATATATTGAAATTCATTATAAAAAATATGTGTACAATTTTTTGAGTTTTTAATTTGTATTTTTTTTTTTAAATTTAGTAATTTTTAAAAATATTTTAATCAATTTTTTTTTTTTTAAAACTTTTTAGATTTACTTAACCTTGATATACTTAAAATGTATAAAATTTATACAAAAATTCTAAAAAATTCATTGAATACAACCAAAATTTGAAAATATACTAACCTTTTGTATTCTTTTTGTATTTGGTATTTTTTTAAAAATAAAATTCATAAATATTATACTCTTTAAATGTATTTAGATTAGGCGTATCTAAAAAAAAAATTTGTATAATAATAAATTTTTTTAATAAAATAAAATATTTAATTTTTAGAAAAAATAGTGTAAACCAAACAGGTCTTTTTTATTTTTATTTTATATAATTAATCATATTTAATACATTAGAGCATCTCTAACAGTGCATCTTTTTTTTTCACTAAATTTGAGTAAAAACTCCATTTGATATCAAGTGATCCAACGGAGGATTTTGAGTTTTCGTCTAAACACCAGTCGACCGAGTAGACGACAAGGTGGACGTCCGACGGTGTATTTTTTCCATGATTTTTTGCTTAGAGGTGGTCATCTGGGGGGACATCTGGTAGTGAAAAGTCAACAATTATAAACAGTGATTTGATGAAAGCTCCCAGCATCTTCAATTTAGTGAAAGATTTTTGATATCTTCAATTTGATACTTACTTGATAAAACCATTGGAGCAGGAAAAGAAGTATTTTTTCATCAAATGATAACAGAATTGATGAACCATTGTTATGTTTGATACTAGGAAATGCTATTTCCACACATCTAGTTACCTTAATCTACATATTTAATGAAATATTATTTTAATGATAATTATATCTTAAATTAAAATGATCATAATGGACATCCACCAACACCCACAATATTATATCAAAATGTTTTCTGTATACATCTTTTAAAAACAAAAAAATCTCAATGTACATCTTTTGAGTAAAAAATAAATAAATCAAATCCTAATTTCTTCATTATTTGTCACTTCTTCCATTGTTTCTCACTTTGTTTGCTACACACTCTATACTCTTTTATTGCTTGCAAAGCAATACTCTCGTAACAATTCTTATATTACTTTGCTCTCTAGGTTTATACTCTATTATTTATTGTTTTCTCATTAGTTCCACAATTATTATTGTTTTGTTATGAAAGAGTTACAGATCAATGGAAGGTCAAAATCAAGTAAAAATATGCTTGGTAACAACAAAAGCAATAATGAAAATGTTAGTGTTTTCATGCAAAAGTTTTTTTTCCTCCATGATTAATTCGAAAAACCAATGCTAAAATATTATATTTTATTCAGAACTATAGTGTCAAACAAACCAATATATTTCAGAACTATTGTCGAACAAATCAATCTATTTCGGAAACCAAGTGTCAAATTAAAAAATTAATTTCGAAAAACCAATGTCAAATTCTCAAAATCACAACTCTTCAAGGAAAAAACAAGGGTTTATTCTAATTTGTCAATGCACTCGACAGAGAAAATGAAATGGTACCAAATGCGATAGTGAAATCGAAACAAAGTATTAGTCAACCTTAACAGATTTTGGAACCAGAGTGTCCAATGGAGAATGAGGGTCTTCAATGAAATTATTGTCAATGGAGATTCTTTAATGGAGGGTGTCACTCAGGTCTTCAGTCTATTCAATGAAGTTTCCTTCACTGTCTTCATTGTGAATCGAAATAAGATAGATCGTTACTCTTTAATTTTGAATAGGTGTGTAAAAAGACAGTTGACACTACAAAAAAATTGACTTTTTGCGACGGTAAAATACCGTCGCTAATACTCCTAATGCCGTCGCTAATACTTTTTGCGACGGCAAAATGACTTTTTGCGACGGCAAGAGGGGGGTTGCAACTGCAGGGGTTGCAAAAGAGTTTTTGCGACGGTAAGTGCCGTCGCTAATGTTTTGCGACGACATTTTTTGGCTTTTTGCGACGGCACCGTGCAGTCGCTAATAACGTTTGAGATTTCTTGACTTTTTTGCGACGGCCCTATTTTACCGTCGCTAAAAATGTTATTTGAGACGACAAAAAATTACCGTCGCCAATAATCTTTTTTTTTTTAAAAAAAACACTTTTTTGCGACGGTGTGGTGCCGTCGCAGAAAGTATAAAAAATATGAAATTTTCTATTTTTTGCGACAGTGTAATGCCGTCGCAAAAAATATTAAAAAATAATAAAATTTCTATTTTAAATAATAAAATTTCTACTTTTTGCGACAGTATAATGTCGTCGCAAAAAGTAAAACCTGTAACAAAATTAATAAAAATATTAAAATTTTCTATTTTTTCCGACGGTGGTGCCGTCTCTCTCTCTAAGAGCTGATTATTTACATTCCATTCACAAAAACATCATAACAGAAAACAAAAATAAAAATTGATCAAACCATCAAATTCAATATTTTACAAAGAACAATTAAACTGTACATGTTCATAAAAGCATATTTAAATTATAAAATTCACCTAAATCCTAAAAATAAAATAAAATAATAAAATAAAATCTAAAATTCACCAATCAACGCATTGGATATTTAGGAACAAAGCTCTCCAATGCTTGTAAATTAGGAACAAAGCTCAAGTCCCATCATGAGCGAAGTGGAAAGCTTATTGGTTTAAAAAAATGAAGAACAAACTGAAGGTGGAGCTAATTTTGGTGGTGGTGTTGTCGGTTATGGATTGGAAAGAGTCTAGCTGGTATACCATTGAAAGTCTCCTTAGTGATCTGAATATGAACTTTGAAATCCCCAACTAGCTCTGTGAGATCAGGCTCCTCATGCAGAGCAAAAACCATTATCCCTTTCTTTGCTGCACCAAAACAAAATCTCCAAGCTGAGTAAATATGTATAGGTGAAACTGAACTTAATAGTCATAATTTGAAATAATAATTAAAGAAAAATATAATATACAGACAAACAAAAACTATATGTTTAACCAAACACAATATCTTAGCTCCAACTGAGATATGCTTCCTTCCCGCATCAGAATCGCGAAAAGATTCGCGTTTCCCTTTCCTCAGATTCGCGATTCTGATGCGGTCCTTCCTCAGAAGGGCAAAATTGCGCTTTTTCCTCGGAGTCGTCGCCATCTGAGACGATTCCTACTACTAAGAAAAAAACTAAAAAAAATTGTAAATCCAAAACCAGGGGGAGGGGCATGTGACCCCCCTGGCCTCCATGTAGCTCCGCCACTGCATGTAGCCAACCTCGTTTGATAGGACTTAAGGCTTGATTTGGTTTGGTTTGCTTTAGCCTAAAACCACCAATAAGTGAGCAATAAGTATTCCAGACAGCATCCCAAAGATCAGTGATTCTACAATAGCAGCTTAAATTTGCAAGTTAGCACCCAACCTTTCCCTAAGAATTTTGCAAACAGAAGGCCACTGCTTGCCCTAGTACTAATTTCATGTCATCAAAGACTTTGCACTCGAACATGAGAAAACTCAAGTGAGACTCAACAAGATTTACATACAGGGAATTAGTAATGAGATCCATAAATAGTGATGACATTTACACAGTACCATCTACATGATCATATGTTAAAGACATGTCAGTTCTTATTAGCATAAAATTACGAAGTGAAATATAATTACGTGCTTACAATCATTATCATGCTAACCAAATTATGTACTACAGAATTGCAAACCATGAACTTTGCATATTGATCGTGTAAGAAATATAAAATCTAGACAAAAAGCATCCCCCTGTAATATCAGGGGCAATCTCATTTTACCTCTAGCAATTAGTTTGGTTGAAAAACCAATTTACAGCCACAAAGCACCAAATAGAAAATCATATTACTATGTATTGGCAAAAAACCATGAAGTTTAAGTGGATCTCTTAAGTTTTCAGAATGCATGCCTGCCTGTTTCGTAACAGAAATTAATCATTTCATGTGTAATTGTGGAAGAAGATGTTGGGTCTTTGCAGTCCACACTCCGTCCTTTGTCATTAACCGGGGTTTCTTATTCTCAATTTGAGAAAATCTAATTGTATTGAATTTGAGATTTTTTACCACTTGTCTTGTTCAGTAAAAAAAATGCAGTCATATTCCCAATGTTCAACTAGAAAATAGAAGCACCGGTTGATCATTGCAAATAGTCTCTCACTTAATATTGTATTTCAGTATCGGGAGCCCACCAAAAAGAGCAATATACATTACAAGTGGCATGAAAGAACAACAATTTGTCAAAGAAACTACACATACCATGTACTGTGGAATGAGGGAGGCCCCATATTTTGTCTTAAATATCCTCTCCAGACAAGCAACCAAAGCATTCTCAAGACCAGGCACATCCCCTTTCGTTTGTAAAGCACTGCAAGCATGATCATACTATCATGAAACAAACTCAAAAATTTTAAGGGTTAATTGCACGGACAACACGTCAACTATCACTGAATATCATACTCCTACCCTTCTCAACTTTAAAACCGTACATTGGACCACCCACCTATAAAATTATATCACTCTCACCGCTCCATGGGGCATTTGTACAATTTTATATAATTGACGGGGCTAAAGGTAGGGTTTGGAAATTGAGGGACCAAAGTAGGGTAGGATTTTATAGTCGATGGGGCTAAATGATTTTTTTATGGTCGACCAGAGTGATTAATTGAGAGAATGTCCGTGCAATTATTTATTAACACAACTTTTAACATCAAATTTTATAATGATTTTGAGTTATACATAAACAAATTCTAAGTAACTGAACTGCAAGAAATCAAGAACATGTCGATATCATTGAATTAAAGTAATATATGTATCTGTATGTGTGTATAGGTAGAGAGAGATGAAGAGGGTTACTTGATGATGACTGGAAGGGGGAAGCGATCAAGGAATTCCTTTGTAGAAGAGTCAGATTGAAAACCTGATAGATGACAAGATAGAAGGGAAAAGGTTATATATATATATATATATAGAGAGAGAGAGAGAGAGAGAGAAAATGTGAAGTGCAAGGAGTGTGAAGAGTGGATTACCGGGATGAAATGCGAAATCGGAAGCTGAGATGAGTAGCAGAGTAGGATCGCTAACTGAGTATTCCTCTTCCATGGGCCTACCTACCTACACAAAGAAGACGATGGAGAGGAAAAGAGAGGAATGGAGAGAGGCGTGCAATAACCTGACTACTAGAACCTGCAACGGTTGATGGCCCGAAATTTAGTGGTTAGAATAGTTTAAAATTGTTAAAATGACATCATTTTAAACATAAAATAAGTTAAAATAATATTGTTTTGACAATTTTAAATCATTTGAACCACTGATTTTGTGGCTTTTAAATATTTTTCCTACTAAAATCCAGTCGGCAAAAAGGGAGAACTTTATTGAAATTTTAAAATGGGTAAAATTGCTTTAAATCCTTAAATTATGATTTTTTTATATTTAAGAAATATTTGAGATCTTAAAAATAAGGTTCCTTATATACCTTTAACTCTTCATATTAATTTGGATCCATAATGATAATACGAATCGTCTATCTTGTCTTTGTCATAAAAATTATTTATTTAAAAAATAAGTTTCATCAAAAAATTTTATTTTGTTTTATAAAATGAACGACAAATGTAATTATAAACTTAAATCATTTATTTTATAAAATAAAATATTTTTTGTTCTTGTGTTTAATATTTTTTGATGAAATTCATTTTTTGCATGAATAACATTTATTACAAAATTTACGAGATGGACGGCTTAGATCATTTGGGACAAGTCTAAATTAGGGCCTACAAGAGGGTTTCGAGAGGTATGGAGAGGAGTTTATTCCTCAAAAATCTCCCACAATTCAACACAATGATGTAATCTAACCAGTGTCAATTTTTTGATTGATTATATACTCAATTATGTGACTCAACGCCTTTACTACATTATTGTGGATACATTTGTAACTGTAAAATGTGGGTCTCTAACATTATTATTGTTTATATTTTGCCTTTAAAATTTTAAAATGTAACAATTAATTATGTGAAAAGGCGAGGGAGACACTCTTATCAGAAAGACAAGAAGACTCATGAACTCCAAAAGGGAAGGCAAGCAACTCATGGCAACTGACTTATCAGAAAAGAAAAGAACCAAGAAAGAAAACTAGAATTATATTATAAATCAACTTTTTACAAACTTCAAAGTCTATGCAAAGTAAAGAGGGTACACATTAAAACCCAGTCTTTATTGCAGACCACAACCATTTAACATTCTCTTTCCAGAATAGAAAACCAAGCCTCTCACATTTCATTCAACAACTCAACCAAAAATACACTCAACCAGAAACTAATAATAAAAAAACAAAAAACTTAAAAACTTGACACCCAAAAACAAGAGTTGCAGTAAATGCAGAAGAAAAGAAGAAGAACCATGAATGGAGAAGGCAAAGATTGTAGCAAACCAAATATATATATGATTTTACACATACATGTAGATAAACAAGTGTGTGCTTGATATCTCTTGTTAAATTTTTGCTGCAAATCTCAAATATCAAAATAGTCAGCACCAACAGATCTCATAGCAGGCAGGGGAAAATGGCATTGATTTCCCGACACAACATATTAATACAAAATGAGCAAAAATCGATTTGAAAACTCAAAATCAATAGATATATATAAACCTTATAGCGTTATACTTGATCACCGAGAAAACATACGAAATAAAATAGAACTTAAAATCCAAACAAATGCGCAGTTTTCTTCCTCCTTTTTCTTTCTTTCCAACTTTTCCCAGGCAATCGAGCAACACAGGAATTATGTAGTATTGTTTCACAACTAAAGCAAATCAGAGTACGAGTAATTATTATTATTATTAATAAAAATGTGAAGAGCAGAACCACAAGGCAACTAATCTGAAACACCACCGAGAGACGAATCCGAAAATGACTTGGAAGCCCTAAAATTTCAAACTTAAAAAATTGAAGTGTCAGCAAAAATTCAAATACATTCAGATCAATAATCCCCAACCTAACATTAACGACATAACGACCCAATCCATAAAACTAAAAAAACCAAACCCAATAAAAATCATATATGGAGATAGAGAGATGCAAAAGAATGAGTACCTTTGGGGGTCCAGGACTGATCGGACGATTTGGAAGAGAGAAGATCAAGCTTGCCTTCAGCCATGAGATTGTCGATGAGTCAGGGAGTTTGGTGAGAAGATCGAGAGCAGGGGAAAGGAGTGATAAGGGGTGGAGGAAACAGAGCAGCGAGAGAGAAATACACACAGAGCAGAGCTTGTAGAGATATGAGTGAATGAGATTCGAGATTTGAGAGATTCCTAGGGTTTCGAAGCTTTTTGCAGTACACTAGCAGAGAGAGAGAGAGAGAGAGAGAGAGAGAGATACCGAGAGCGAGAGGGGTGAAGGTGAGGAGAAGGGTGAGGGTTTGGGTGGTCAGAACAGCCAAATCAGCTAATCCATGATTATGATTTTTCATTTTTTAAAAATAAATAAATATATTAAAAATTTATTAAATTCATTCAAAAGATACATTTACGAAAAAAGACACCTGGGGCGAGCTTTTATTTCGAAAATGGTCCTGCGAACTCTTATCTTGAATTTGGCAAAAGCTTAACATTGTTTAATCTTATAATTGTGTAAAAATTATTTTTTGTATTTTAGAAAAAATAAGAGTTCTGTTATATCATACAAATTTATTAACACCCCCCTCCCCCGCGTCGTGACGTGCTTTGTTTGGTAGGAATTGAATCTTAATTGTTATTTTTTATACATTTATTTTTCGTTCTAATCGAACTTACATCTATCCTCTTTCCAAAATTTCTCCCACTCTCAAATGAGACTCTACTCTCATCAAATAAATCACTGACGATCATCAACGACTACCACTAAGGAACCGGCCATCTCTCTCCTAACTCTCATATTTCATCAATCTTCTAGCTCTCTTCCTACATTTCTCCCTCTCTGACAATGACTTTCTCTCTAGTGCGACTCTTAAGTAAGCTCTGACATGAATTCAGTCTCCGACGTGATCTAGTTTCTTGGCAAGATCTGATTTCTAGATTTTTCTGTTAATTTGTTGATTTTTTTTGTTATTGGGACCAAATTTTTATGTAAATCAAAAGTAATTTACAATGTTATAGTTGTGGTTACTAGATAATATCAATGCATGGTAACCTTGAGTTTAGGAACTATATCAGTTATGATTTTCTACAAATCTCAGGTCATGTTTAGTTTGTATCTGTGAAATAATTTTGAAAAAAGAGTTTACAAAATTTGAATGAATGGGTATAAGAGAAAAAGTGATTTATTGATATGTAGAATGTAAAAAAATGAGATATGAGAGAGAGAAAAATGATTGATTGATGTATAGTAGATAGAAAAGTGATTTTGACTTCTCTTTTTTTTCAAAATTTTTCAACCAAACAAATTTTTGAAATTTTTTCTTGAAAATTATCTCTCAAAAGACAAACTAAACAAGGCCTTATTTTTTTTTCCCTTTCCTTTATTTGATTGTTGCTTCAACTCGGTGATAAGAGGAGGGTTACACATTGGCGTTGATGAGACGAAGTGACGACGGTGATGAGAGGAGGGCAAGGCATTGACGAGAATGAAAAGAGGGCGAGATATTGACAATGATGAGAAACTTATGAGAGAGAGAAGAAATGATCGTATAACAAAAAAACAAGAGTCCTAGAGAAGGAGAAAGAGAGAAAAAGAGAGAGTGAAAGAGGGTTTACACTGATCATGTGTCAAGTCAGGTCATTCGGAGGGTTCGAGTGGGTTATTTCTATGTGAATAAATCATTATTGATAAAATATTATCTTTTGATTTTTATCTTGTGTGCTATAAACATTTGTTAACCTCATTTGTTTTTATTTTTAGATTGGGATGTTAACCCTTTTAATATTAGCAACTTGATGGAACCACAAGAAATAGGTTTAGCCAACAATTGCTTTGACATATACCAACTATAAATACACGTATAACAAATGTTTTTTAAAACCTTTTTATATAAATGCTTATGTTAGAAAGTTGATTAAAAGTTATTTTTTGACTTTTTTATATCATATCAAACTAGCCCTAAATGTGTGACAAAATTTTTATTAAAAAAAAATAAAATTCGCAAGTTAAATTTTATAAAACTAATTTGTATTTGATTAAATTAATTATAAAAAGTTTGATTTGAACTCAATTTCATTTTCCTAAAAGATATGTCCTATTATAATATTTTTATTGAATCATACATTATGGTAAATGAAACAAAATATATATATATACTAACCTTAATATTCTATTTTACATATTTTTTTAGAGATTGGATTCTTTCCTGTTGAAAATCCAATTGGATAGTCCAATCTGGTCCACTATAAGCCTATTTCGAATCCATTTCCATAATTCAAATTGTACATTTTGTAAGGCTCTTTGAAGTGATCGTGTATTAAAAATCAAGACGATCGAACATCGGAAACCACTCCACCAGATTACATTTGTCTTCCAATCAAAGAAAATAGATTACATTTGTCTGAAAAATAATTAACGGACAATATAATTTTGAAAGTAAACCATTAAATTATTTTTTAAAAAAATTGTGATCCAATGAAATGGTTTGATACATGATCAGAATCGTTTAATATTTGCATTACAATATTCAAGTCATATTTATGTTCGTGTAAAAAAATATTCAACTCTAACCCAGTAGTTACATATATAGTTCTTGTACCTACAATGATATTAACCTGAAAATCACACATGTCGCATCATATGCGAAAGTTATGTTCTTTGGATGACAAGCATCAATCGAATGGAAAACTGGGAGGCATCATGAATTGCTTCCAATTGCTTGGTGATTTTGAAATTTGAATCCATCAAAATTAATTTTAATATAGCATGTTTTCTTTTTCTAACAATAAAAACAGATGGCACACTTGCCGTCTCAAAAAGTCACTTTTTGCGACGGCAGAAAATGCCGTCTCAAAAAAGCAGAACATTTGCGACGGCACAATTTGCCATCTCAAAAAATGAGAGTATTTGCGACGGTATTTTCTGTCGTCGCAAATACTCTCATTTTTTGAGACAGCAAATTGTGCCGTCGCAAATGCTCTGCTTTTTTGAGACGGCAAATGGTGCCGTCGCAAATACTCTGCTTTTTTGAGACGACATTTTTTGCCGTCGCAAAAAGTGACTTTTTGAGACGGCAAGTGTGCCGTCGCAAATAATTCCGTCTTATAAACCCACTTTTCTTATAGTGTGAGGTGGTGTGTGTACAAGGTATGAGGTAAAGGTATGATTGAAACAATTGGTGTGTAAAATAAAAATAAAAATAAATAATTAAATTACTAAGTATATATATTGAAAAAAATATATACAATAAAATAACTTGGCGTGTGAAAATAAAACTTCCCACAACATTGTCATGCCCTCATGGTTGCAACTTACATGATTGCCCCATATTTTGTGCAAGTAATTTACACCTTTTTTTTTTTATTTGCAAAAAGAATTGATGTAAATTTGCATTTTATTACCGTCTCATTACTCCAAATTTTGATGTCTTAGGCTTCGTTTAGGAAATTGGGTTAACTTTTTGACTATTTTAATGTAGGTTAAAAGGTTCATTTGAATTAATTTTTTTGACTTTTTTAACATTTATAAAAGGAAAAGTAAAATAATTATGATTTAAATATGATATATTATTTTATTATTTTTTAACTTATTTTAACTTATTTTAGCGTCATATCCTAAGTCATCAAAAAATTAATTTTTTAAAAAAAAAATAATAAAGAAAGATAATACTATAAGAGATGATAACATAAATTTTTACTTTTTATGACCAATTTGATTACCATTTTAGTAGTTTTGGGAAAAGATAGGACAATGGACTATGAAGTATGAAGTTCGAATAAGTTATCTGAATTGTTTTTGACTTTTTATTTTGAAAGTTTGTATTAAATTATTTATTATAATTTTTGCTCATAATTTATTAAGTAAAAATAATTTAAATAAGGGTGAATTATACTAAAAGTTCTTATAGTTTGGGAGGTTTGTCTCAATTTGGTCCATGACTTTTCAATTGTGATACATTTGACCCTGAATTTTGAATCTTATTCCAAATAATGACAATCAAAGATGTTTCCTTTGCAAACAGTCCAGTTCAAGGATAAAGTTGTCATATAACTTGTTTTGTGCTTGTTAATATGTAGTATGTTGTTTGAAATGTAATGATTTTTTTTTAATGAATAATGTTATAATTTTTTTGGTTATAAAGTTATGTTTCATTTGGTTTTCGTAATCTATTTATTTTTAAAAAAAGTGATTTTTATTGATAAGTCCAATTTAGAAGTGTTTTAACCCAAGAAATCCATGAAGGAATTTTTTAACCTATTTAGTCCCATGTATGTATAGTTTTATTCCATAAAGTCCATTTTCTTGATTTACACTATTTTCTTGGACACTTATGCACTTATATTTAATTTTGATACCCTTATAAATATATTTTCAACTATTAGCAATTTAATGATGTGAACATTCTTATTTTAAAATTCACATTTGTAGGAATGTAAATTGGCCCGTGGGCGGCCCGAAACCCGCCCGCGAGCCAGGGCGGGCCCGGCCCGTTGACAATGTGAATATTCACATTGACATGTTAAAATTCACATTAATAGGAGTGTAAAATTGGCCCTTGTCCCGTGGCGGCACGAAACCCACTCGCGGCCCGGGGCGGGCCCGGTCCGACCCGTTAACAATGTGAATATTCACATTGACATGTTAACATTCACATTGATAAGAGTATAAAATTGGGTCGCGGCCCATGGGCGGCCAAAAGCCCGTCCGCAGCTCAGGGCGGGCCCGGCCCGGCTCGTTGACAATGTGAATATTCATATTGACATGTTAACATTTACATTGATAGGAGTGTAAAATTAGTCCGCGCCTCGTAACTGCCCGAAATCCGCCCACGGCCCGAGGGCGGGCCCGGTCCGGCCTGTTGACAATGTGAATGTTCACATTCACATTGATAAGAGTATAAAACTAGACAGCAACCTAGGGCGGGCCTGACTCGGCCCGGCCCGGCCCGTTGACAATGTGAATATTCACATTGACATGTTAACATTCGCATTAATAGGAATGTAAAATTAGCTCTCGTCTCGTGGCGGCGCGAAACCCGCCCGCGGCCCATGGGCGGGCCCGGTTCGGCCTGTTGACAATGTGAATATTCACATTGACATGTTAACATTCACATTGATAAGAGTATAAAATTGGCCTACGGCCCATGGACGGCCAAAAGCACGCCCGCTGCCCAGGACGGGCCCGGCCTGGCCCGTTGACAATGTGAATATTCACATTGACATGTTAACATTCACATTGATAAGAGTGTAAAATTGGTCCGCAGCCCGTGGGCGGCCCGAAGCCCGACCGCAGTTCGAGGCGG